AGAATTTAGGATAAAGACCTAAAAACGTCAATTGGACTTGGAACGTTTTAACGTTAGAAAAGTTCAGTTTTTATGGGTGAGGCAAAAGCCAAGTTTGGGCTTACACACACACACACACACACACACACACACACACACACATACACACACTACACACACACACACACACACACACACATTCAGGTTCCAAACAGTTGAAATCAAATCCAGAAAAGGACCTGGCAGGTAGGTTGGCGCTAGGATCTAGTCCCGGCTCTGCACGGCCCCAGGATCCTACGGATGTAACCCTGGTAAAGAAATGAAAGAGGGGGCCCAGGAAGTAGCACAGGGGCCGCTGCTGGGTCGCGTGGGCTGAGGGTGCGTTTCTTGGCCCCTGGGGAGGGGAGGCGTGTTCTGGTGGGTTCTGTCCCCTGCCCGGCTCCAGCCCCTGGCCCTGCCCTGTCCCTCGCTGCAGCATTTCTCCCTGAGGCAGTTCTAAAATGCGGGGGCGAGGACTGAGCCCCACAAACCGCAGCCGGCCCCTCTGGGTTCGGGCAGCTGCACGACTTCCTCCCTGCCCGAGCCCCCGGCTTTCACCGCCTCCTTCCCTTCTTCCCTCGAGATGCCGGAAAACACAACTCTCCACCCACGCTGCCTTGTCTCTACACCCCGTCTCTGTCTCTCTGTCTGTCTCTCTATCTCTCTCCCTCTCTTTCTCTCATATACCCCCCACATACTCATGTATACCCACATACACATTTATACATATATTCACACAATCTCATACATACACATAACCACACAGATCACACACATATACTTACACATTCACACATTCACATACACCCATCCTCATAACCACACACATACAGTCACATATATACTCTCACATCTACCTGCGCAGACACAAATTTATACATATATTCACATACACCTATACACATAACCACACACAAACACCCACACACATTCATACGGACACATATTCACATAATCACACCCATAACGTAACCAAACACATACACACTTACACTCGCACACACACCCACACACCCACACACACATATTCAGACACACAATCACACACCAATACACATTCCTACACACTCACGCCCAATGACACAGTTACACTCATGCACTGACACCCATCCACAACCACACAACCTGGTGTGTGGTTGTCTCCGCTTCCCTCTCCCCCAGTTGTCTCTACCATTCTTTTGCTGGCCTTGCCTCCCCTTTCTTCATCGTCTCAGAAGCAGACCCCTGGGCGGGAATGTAAAGGCAGGGCTGACACGGCCCAGCGTGTCAGAGAAGAGAACCACAGTGGCCACGTGCCCGGCAGTTCCACGCCAGGTGCAGACCAAATGAAAAGAGTGGATAGCAGAGCCCATCAGCACAGAGGAACAAGAGGTCGCGCACGTGTGTGTGTGTGAGTGTGTGTGTGTGTGTGTGTGTGTGTGTGTGTGTTTGGGGACGGGGTATATTGAATTTTAATCCGACCTTTAAGGTGAAAGGAATCGTGACATGTGACCTCACGCATGCACCGTGAGAACTTTATGCTACATTACATCACGCGGAGACAAATGCCGTGTGTGCCCACGTGGGAGGCGTCTGGGATCATTTGCTCTCGGAGACCAGCAGTGAGCACAGGTCACCGGGGAACCCAAGCAAGGGGAGTTTCCATTTTTCCAAAAGAAGCATCTCGTTGTTGGGTGGTGAGGTGACTGTACAATACAGGAAGGTGCTTCACACCAAGGAGTGGGCGCAGTGGCTGTGGTAGCCAGTCTGAGGTAAACGCAGGAACCCAGCACCCTTCCACGCGGGCCCCTTCCCATGCCGGCCTCTCTGCTCCGAGACCTTCTTTCCCTGAACCCACCTCGACCTCACCTCCGGCACAGGCGCTCTGAGGCCTCGCTGCCCTTATGCCTTTCCAGACCAGATTTCCCCCACGGGAGAGTCTGCCAGCCCCACGCGCCTTGGCCTCTGGCTTCTGTGACTCGCCACAGGCCTGGCCTTCTCTGCAGCCCTGTTCTAGAACTTTGCTCTCCATGGCAACCGAGTCCCGTGACTCAGAGCAGATCTCAGTCAACCTTAACAGAGCAGAATCCCGAGGCCCCTCCTCCCCAGCGTCAGCCTCAGCTCAGCTCTTGGGAGCCTGCCACGGCCCGGGACAGTGGACGTTCCTGTCACCCCGACCCTTCCTGCGAGGTAACGGCTGTTCCTGAGGCCCCACTCTCCCGCTGAGCCCACCCAGAGAGTTTCTGACTCGGCAAGTCAGGGTCCGACCAAGAACTCGGGACCTCTATCCCATCCCTAGGTGCCGTGGCTGGTGCTGGGTCCAGGAGGGACCCTCGTCGCTTCCCCAACTCCCCCTTCTGCTCTCTCTCCATCTCTTCCCTCACCAGACCCCCGTTTCTCCTGTGTCCTGGCTGATGTCTTATGTGACCCGCACACGGAGATGGTTCGTCTCATCTAACCGAGGGGCCCGTCCTCAGGGCCGCCCCTGGCCCAGGGCTCTCGTGCTCATCTTCAGGTGCTGCTGGCTGGCAGTGCCACCTTCCTTCCCGAGGCTCCAGCGTCAGGCCTGTGGCACAGCTGGTGGCCCTGTTCTCTCTAGCCGGTGGCATCCAACTGCATCCCTGCCCCACGTACCCCTGTGCTTCCTGAAATGCGGAGGAGAAGCCGTTTGTGTGAACAGCTCCCCGTCAGTGTCATGCGTTCTGTGTCCCTGCTCACTCAGTGTCCACGCAGCTGGGGACGCTGGTCTGGAGTCAGCACTGTCCTTTCCTCTACACGTTCTTTCTTGCGGTCGGCAGCTTTCTAGGCCACGAACTTCATCCTTTCTGCGAGGTCGAGGGGGCTCACCCAGGAAGAAGCCTTTTTAAAGACTAGGCTCTGGGGTACGGAAGTTTCCCATGAGGGTTTTGTTACCTCAAGTGTGGGCATCCTGAAATGGGCCCCCAGACCCCCACTCTCCTTCCAGGCCCCCCGCTCCCAGGCAGAGCTCTAGCAGTCAGAGAACCCAAAACTGCTTTTAGACCTAAAAGAAATTGTTCCGTATTTCCGCCTGCACTCTGCCTAATGCGTTTCTGTGACACTTCATAGTAATGAGATAATTACCTCGGGTGCAGTATTGCCTCTCCATATTCTGCTCCGTTCCAGCGTCAAAGTCAGTAATGACCATAACTCATTCCTCACTTCTCCTTCACGACTCTCAGACGAAAAGTTAAGCTGCAGTGTGCCAGCAGGCCCAGGGTACATTTCGTGGCCTTCGTTTCCGCGTTTGGACACTGAGTTTCCGGAGACAATAGACTCTCCCTCATTTAAGCCAATTTGGGCCAACAGCGGCCTAAATGGAGAAGAATTGGAAGCCCGGGTTAGTCGTCAGGATATATAGATCCGGCTAGATTTCAAAGTAACAAGCAGCAATTCAAACTAGACTCTCAAACAGTTGGTAAATAAGCATCCTTGGGGAGCGACTTCAATTAATAGATGAGAAGAATTCATAATACATCTATCAGTGGTTTATTTACGCTCAGCCTCCTGGGGCCGGAGGCCTGAAGCCCCATTTCTGTATTAAGGCGTTTAAGCATTCCCCTTATGGCCCTTATTATATGCCGGTTCTTTTCCATAGTAAGCTCTTTTTTTGGGCGTATGAGGATAAATATCAGGTTGGCCCTGAGCCAAGTTACAGAGTCAGGCGAAATGAACTGGAATGAAATGAATCCGGTTTTGCTGCTTGATGCATAGAAATAGCCTCTGGACTCTGCCTCTGAGGGTCTTTCAAGCATGGAGACTGGTCACACATCTTAGAAAAGACCCCCGAGGTCATGGGGGCCAGTGGTTTTATCTCTCAGTTTTATCCCAGGGATGTAGCCAGACACGTGAAAATTCCCAACTGTTCATGCTGCTGAGGATTATCCAGAAAACAAAGATTATTCACAGAAACAGAGTTTTTTGGCCACAAAACAGAGGCCGGAAGTAGAATCCTCCTCCATGTCAATCATGTCAATCAGCCCAAGCCCCTGACTCTCCATGGTGAGGCTTGGGCAGTGGGTGTCCCACAGAACCTGTGTTCTTAAAGCCGGGTCACCCCGACTAGCTCAGGCAGGCTCTTTGTGTGATGTCACAGCCCTTTGCTTGAAATTATCCACAAGGGAGGGTAGAGATGGGGAAAAAAACACACCCTGCTCTAAAAGTTTCTGCACCAGCCCACTGTGGGCTCCAGCCCAGCACGCCCATATTGTCAACGTTGAAGGCTGGTTACGCTTCAGAACGTTCTTCCCTTTGACATCCTGAGACCCTGTGATATCAGCGTGTAACCTGCCAAACCAAGTTCTCATGCTCAGCCCTGACTCCAACAAGCCTTCCAGAAAGCACCCCCAAAGTTCTTTACATGAACCAAGCAACGCATGCACTCAGGTTTCTGGGGCTTGGGGGTGAGGTGAGGGTTGTTGGCTTTCAAAGACGAAACTTTGCGAAAGATTTAAATATAATTTCTCTTTCCGATAGACCAAAGGCAAGAAAAATCAGACTGAAAAAAGAATGTTGTGTTGTTGTTGTTGTGTTGTTGTTGTTATTGGGGAGACTCACAAGCCGTGCTCAGGGGTCTGGGGGCATCCCCATTGGGTTACTCGGCAACCGGAGCAGCCGGTGCCGGGGATGACCGAGGGCTCGTATGCAGGGATCGAACCTGGGTCTGCTCTGCAGATGGGCCTCCCGCTCCTGGGCGAGCTCTCCTGCCCGGGGTCATCCCCTGTTCTCTGGCTGTTGTGGTGTGATCTACAGCTCGGGGTTCTGATGCTCTCACCCGTGCTCCCGGAACACAGGAGCCCCACAAATTTCTGTGCTCACGGGAGAATCCCCGGAGCCCATGCTGCCGAACTCTGGCCCTGAGCATGGGGAAGGTGGAAGGATCAAACTTGCAGCCTCACTGCAGGCAGGCACCCCCACTTCAGCGAGCCCCAGGTCCCGAACACAAACTCCTCGGCAACACGCAATCTCCCTGCCCTCCCGTTGGGATGAACAATGCCTTGGTCCGGAGTCCAGTGAGAGCCTGAAGAAGCTAAAAGGGTCTCGGAACTGGAGCCGCCGAGCCGTGCTGGCTTCTGATGGAGGAAATGGGGGTTAGCGAGGCTGTGGGGGCCGCCCCATCACATAATTAAGTGTATTTAGTTGCTAGGTTTTCGTGGCTCTGGCAAACACCATATGCATATTTTGGCTTCTCGAGTTCCTGACATTTTCCGTTGTGTACACTCTGGATATTTTTAAATCCCGATAAGCATGTGAGCGCAAGCCTCGTTCCCTGAAATCCGCCTGTGTGGGCAGTCTTCGGCCAGCTCCTTTCTCTTCGGCTTGTTCTGGTTGGGGAGGATGGGTTGGACACAATGGAACTGAATATTCGTTGCTGTAAAAACCCGCCCTCCCTCCACATTCTTGTGACTCTAAAAACTAGCCCTCGGGTCCTCTCACGTGGCCGCCAAATGAAAGGAATGGTCCAAGACTCCAGCAGGAAAGATCTCCAGCCAGCAAGTTTTGTTGTTGTTGTTGTCGTCGTCGTTTTTGTTGTTTTTTGCTTTTTGGGTCACACCCAGCGATGCACAGGGGTTACTCCTGGCTCTGCGCTCAGGAATTACCCCTGGCGGTGCTCAGGGGACCATATGGGATGCTGGGAATCGAACCTGGGTTGGCCGCATGTAAGGCAAACGCCCTACCCACTGTGCTATTGCTCCAGCCCTGAGCAAGCAAGTTTTAAAAAAGTCCAGTCCGTACAGAGGGTGGTAGTTTCTAAAACACTGCATGTTCGGGGATGGAGCAATAGTACAGCGGGGAGGGCGTTTGCCGACCCAGGTTCAGTCTCCAGCATCCCATATGGTCCCCCAAGCACTGCCAAGAGTAATTTCCTGAGTGCAGAGCCAGGATAACCCTTGAGCATCTCTGGGTATTACCAAACAACAACAACAACTGCACGTTCATGGTATCAATGCTAATGGAGACTGCACAAATGACACCAGGGCAGCTGGGTCAGTGGATAGGCCACTCAGAGTCCTGTTGGCCTGGTCTCCCTGTGCCTCAGTTTCCCCTCTATGTATCTCTCTGAAGTGAGCATAAAGCGGCCCAAAGAAGGCTCGGCCTGAATCATGGCAGGGCACATTCTGCCTCTTCTTGGCTTAGCATGCAACCAGTCCTGACCTCACATCCTTGTTTTTTCATCAAGGGACAACCAGAAATGTGTTGTTTAAATTTAAAGACTTTAAATGTGTATGTTTTACAAATAAAAAATAAATAAGTGTAAATACTTAAATTTATATGTTTTAAGATTGGGTTAGAATGGACAAATGCTGTTTTGAAAAGTGTATTGCTGGGACCAGAGAGATGGACAGAGGTTAAGGAGGTTGCTTTAATGTGCAGCTGTGGCTGGGACCATGGTTCGAGTTTTGGCACCACTTGTGGTTCCATGGAGCACCACCAGGCGTGGCCCCTGAGCATCACCAGGTGTGGCATCCCCAGGGGTGTGTTGTTCAACTCTGTACCAAAGAGCAGAAGCTGAGTTCCATGCTCCAGGCCAACTCCTGGTTGCCCGGATTTGTACATCCATGATGGCACCAACCTTTGGCTTCTTTGGCCCTGCAGGAACTGTCGTGGATCATGCAATGGACTGAATACCCCTGCCCTTCCGAATTTGTGTGGGAGAGCCCAGAGCCTAGAATCTCGGGATATTAATGTCTTTGGAAATGGGCCTCTTGGAGCTCAGTAAGTTCCAACAGACCCTTCGGGTGGACCTTAGCCAGGATGTAATAGCATACCAGGACAGGTACTTTGGTGGGTGAGAACCGCTTGCAGTCTTTGGATGGGGACCCGAGGTGACTGTGTCTGGGTTTGAGAGCGCAGGCCTGGCAGCCGCAGGCCATGGCAGGTTCTGCTACGTGCTCCTGTCTGCTCTCGGGTTGTTCCCCACGGACAAACCCTGGGAGTCCTCACGGGGGTCACAAGCCTTTCTAGCACCTTCCACACTGCGGGTGGACCCCGCTGGGTGCAGTGAAGGGCCAGATGTGGCCTGGGCTCGTTCCAGAGCTCGGCCTCACACTGGCGTGCAGACTTCAGAGCACGGAAAAACTGCCACCAGCTAAGGATGGTTGGGGGTGCGGGGCATGTGGGGTGAGGGAAGGTAATGGCCGTGCCCGGGAGCCCTGAGCAGGGACAGGGCAGGAGTGCCCAGGGGCGGGGAGAAGCGGGCAGCAGCCAGAAGCAGGGAGGAAGGGCAGCAGGTCGGGTGCTGCCCTTGCATGCGGCAGACGGGGCCAATCCCCGGCCCTGCCTCAGGTCCCCTGAGTCCTGCCAGGGCTGATCCCTGAGCACTGCACTGGGTGTGACCCCAACAAGGGATCATAGTGTTTTTAAAATAAAATAAAGACTCTGTAGTGTGTGTCCTCAGCTGCAAGGAGAGTGTTTGCAGTGGGGACCCCCAGGTGGAGTCGCAGGGTCTCGGTGAAAGGGGCAGAGAGTGGGGGGTAAATACAGCTAGTCCCACCCAGAGGAATGGGGAGAGGTTGGACGGTTTGAGGAAAACAAGCCGTAAAAGTGCTCGGGAGCAGCGGGACCTGGGGAGGCGCAGTGTGTGTGTGTGTGTGTGTGTGTGTGTGTGTGTGTGTGTGTGTGTGGTGGGGGCAGGGGAGGGTGGCCCGGATCCTGGAGGGGCCGGCGTCGCTGCTCTGCCACCGTGAGTCGCCCGCAGGGCTGCTGTGAGAGTCAGGACCTCGGCACCACAGCTGGGAGGGCGCGGAAGGCGGGAGGGAGAATTAGCCCCTGAACCACGGGGCTCTGACGTGGTGACGCCTCGGAGCTGGTCACAGTTGGCGTACCAGAGGGGCTGGGACAGGGCGCGACAGCAGTGAGCCCTGGCTCCTGGACCAGGCTGTGTCCCAAGTGCTCCTCTGCAGGGGGGACGGGGTGAGGGGGCAGGAGCTGACAGGAGCAGGAATTTCTCCCGATCTCTCTCTCACTCTCTCACTCTCACTCTCTCACTCTCCCTCACCCTCCCCTCCCTCTCTCTCTCTCCTCTTTCTCCTCTCTCCTCTCTGTTGGAGACAGCTTCTCAGGACACAGACAGCAAAGTGCTCAGATGGCCCACAAGGCTCTCACCCAGCCATGCGTCCCCGCCACACACACCTCACATACGCCACATGCCTTGTGCACACCACATACCACACACACCTCACATTCTTCACACACGCCTCACACACACACGTGCCTCAACATACACACCAGACATTCTCCCCCCCACACACACACCCCCCCATACATTCCATCCCTCACGCATACCTCACACACGCGCAGACACAGCAGCCTATACCACACAGGCCTCATACATCTGGACCACACATGTCTCACACGTGTGCACATGCCACACATCCTTCATGCTTCACACACATGCACACACAGCACATGCATAGCACACACCATATGCCTCATACGCGTGGACCACATACCAGACACACCACAGTCTCATACCCAGGCACCACACAGATGCTTCCGTACCACATCACACGTGCCACACACCACATACCCCTCACACAGCTCTCGTGTGCCCACACACAGCCCCCCCCACACACACACACACACACACACCCGCTTCTCACCGCTGCTCCTCACCGTCCAGAGCGCTGGCACTGGGGCAGATGTGTTGAGTGGGCGTGAGAAGAGCCGCCGTGGGGGGCTGTGGGGTGTTTCCGGGCGGGGGGCTGGGGCCTCAGGAAGGGGCTGGATTGGAGCCGCCCACCGGGGCTGCTGGACCGTCTCAGACATGAATCCATTAGCACCTGGGCTGGTGCTGCAGCCGCAAATTGGATTCTTGTCGTGCACATGAGAAGAGCTGCCCAGATGCTTGGGGAGGCAGAAACGTTCTCCTCCTCCTCCTCCTCCTCCTCCTCCTCCTCCTCCTCCTCCTCCTCCTCCTCCTCCTCCCCCCTCCCCCCCGGCTGGGTTTTGGAGACCCAGGCCGTCTCTAATCCCAGAGGCCAGCGCAGTGGTGGTGAGCCTGGGTTTTCCAGGTCACCCTGGCGGGACCCGGGGCTTCCTGAGGCAGGACATGTCTGAGCCGCTGCTCACAGCCCTGGCCTGAGGGGCCCATTCTGCGGGGGAGGAAACTGAGATTCGGGGGGGGGGGGGGGGCAGGGGTTCTCCAGAACTCACCACTTCGTAGCGGTTACCAAGGTTTGCCTGGCGACCCCATGCGGAGCCAACAGAAGCGCCATGACCTTGGCCGACCTTTGGAGTGAGGGCAGCACCCACCCACCTCTGCTGAGGAGAGCAGGGTGTGGGTCTCGGCCACCGGGTTTGGCGAGATGGCGGCATGGACCAAAGTTGTTCTCTCTCCTCAGCTCTCCGGGCCTGCGCTCTCCGACATCTCAGCGCCTTCCTAGATCCGTGAATGATTCTAGTTGTTGTTGCTTATTTTAACTAATTGGTTCCATTTGGTGACTGGCCTCTCCTGACAGTGCTTGGAGCTGTCTGCTTTCTGAGGCTCCAGGGTGCTCCCTGACAGTGCTCGGGGCCCATGTGGTATAGGGGACGGGTGCCCAGCCTCCCACCTGCCAAGCCCCTCAGCTCTCTCCTGGCCCTGCCTTGCTAACGTGTGTGTGGTGCTGTCTCCTCGGGCTTCCAAAGCTGCCACCATGAACGTGGCTGATGTGTGTTGGGGCCTATGTGTCGTGGCCATGTGTGTTGTGACCCCCGTATGCCGTGGCATTGAGTGTCATGGCCCCGTGTGTTGTGGTCACTGTGTTGGGCTTTGGGCATGCTCCTGCACATCCCCTGACCAGATACCCGGCTTCTGGGTCTGCTCAATAATGTCCTTTTCCACTGGTCTCTCCCTGCCTCTGGCCGGGGCAGTGTCGTCCTGGGAGGCGCCTTGTCTCCAGATTTCAGTCCCCCTCCACGACTGCAGATAAGGGCTCGGTGTGGTGAAAATGGAGGGGCTGGGGGAACAGATGATCAGAGAAGGTGCTCGCCTTGCACGAACCAGCCTGGGCTCTACCTGCCACACCCCAGATGGTCCCCCAACTCCGCCAAGAGCCATCTGTGACCTCAGAGCCAGGAGTCAGCCCTGTGCCCCTCCAGGTGTGGCCCAAGAGTAATCATCAAACCAGTTATAACAGAGGAAACGGAAAGCCGGTTCGCCCTGGGTGTTGCTCGGGGTCTCTTCCTACTCACTTTTCCATGGATCGTTGCACTCACGAAAGCCGAGATTCTCATCTCCAGTGGTTTGCTTGACCGGGGGTGCCCCGACACCTGAGTCCACTGCTGATGCAGGCTTGGGGGTCCCTCACCCCAATGCTCTGGGACACTGCGGGGTGGGGATCTCTGCACTCCCTCCTGGGGTCATTCTGCCTGCGCTTCCTGAAATGCCTCTAAAGCCTTCAGTGACCCCCCACCCCCGCTGACCCTCACCCTGCCACTGTGTTCCCTAAAGCTCCTGGCTGGCAGACAGGAGGGTCAGACACACACTGAGCAGGAGTATTAACAGGCCCACAGGTCAGCAGGGCACCCGTCCGGCCTGTCGGGAGAAGACGGCCTCAGGGAACTCCTGGTGGTGCTCAGAGCTCATTCCTGGCTCCGTGCTCTGGGGTCAGTCCCGGCGAGGCTTATGGGACCATGTGGTGTGCCAGAGTTCCAACCCGGGTTCCCTGCCTGCCCGGCAGGTGCCCAACCTGCTATATTTCCCCCGGCCCGGATGGGACTTCTCTGGAATGAGTGCTCTGAGTGCAGAGAACGAGGTTCAGGGAAGGTGACCACTGGCTGAAATGCAGCGTCTGGGTCAGGACCTGCGCCAGGCAGTGCTGATCCCTGGCCCCACACGCAGGCCTGTGAGTGGACAGGAGGCAAGGCTACACCTGTCCCCATCAGTGGGTCAGCCCACTGCGGGCCTCTAAAACAGGCGGCGGGCAGAGCATCTAAACAGAGTCACCGGAAGTCTGATGGTCGCGGGGAAGGTGCAGGGAACCCTTGGTCCAGTATCTGCGCCCTGTCTGGGGGTCTCGTTCCTGCAGGGGCCACCGAGTGAGGCCCCGGGGCACATGTCCTTGAGTTTTAGAGGAGCCGTGACCAACCAGGGCAGGGAGACACAATTGAATCTGCTGCAAGGCGAGACAGCAGGTGGCACAGTGCCCCAGAGACAGAGGCGGCAGGCACAGGTTTCTGGGGAGGGGGTGGAAACGGTCTGCAAGAGCTGGGAGCCAGCGCCGAGCACTGAGGCAGAGCAGCAGTGCGTGAGGGCCAGGAGTCACGTGAGGGAGATCCTGTTTGCACCTTCAGCAGAGACTGGAAACCATGGCAGAATTGCAAACAGGAAGGGCAGCATTTTAATATTGTTATTCTCTTTTGGTTTGGGGGTCATACCTGGCGATGCTCAGAGGTCCCTCCTGGTTCTGCACTCAGGAATCACTCCTGGAGGTGCTCAGGGGCCCCTATGGGATGCCGAGGATCGAACCCAGGTCAGCCACATGCAAGGCAGGCACCCTCCCCGCTGTGCTATCACTCGAACCCTGCAACCTATATTTTTTAAGAGGGATGTTATAGAGCCTCTTAAAAGACCCTCAGTGTCTCTCCACCTTTGCCCAACCATGGCCCCTTCTGGCCGTGTTTCCTTTCTCCGACCCCCTCCTACCAGCAGACCCCCTAATCTAGCGCCATGGTCCCCCGGTATGCAGTTTTCACCTGTGGTCCCCTTGGAGGAAAGTTGATAAAGAACAACTCAACAAAGAATTGCTGGGAGCGTGGATGGATGGACGAATGGGGTCAGCAGAGAGGCCGGCTGGGAGGACTCGCACCGAGCTTGAATAGATGGCGGCCTCCTGGCCTGGGGTCTTGGCCGGAGCATCTCTGAGGGAGGGTTTAGAGGCAGGAGCCAGAGGACTTGGTGGTGGGCAGTGAGGGTCATTTCCAGGAGGAGGCGCACGTCTCTGGCTGGGGACAGGACATCTGAGCTGGGCGCCTTGTGAGACGCCGTTGTGTCTGGTGACCGAGGGGCGGCATGCAGTGGGGACAAGCTGAGCCTCAGGGTCCGTGGATCACCCAGGGGGAAGAACTTGACAGGAAGGCGGGGCTGGGACCATGGACACCTCATGCCTGGCAGGGATGGGCCTCTTGGTGTGGCCAGAGCCATGCCATGGGCACGTGGTGAGAAGCGGGGGGCTAGTGGCCAGTGTGACATCTGCATCTGCCGTCGGCAAGCAGGCTCGTGGATGGGTGCTGCTGCTTCCCGGCACCCGGGGAGAGGGGTGTGGAAGCATCAGAGCCCCAGGAAGTTGGGGTCTCGCTCATCGCTGGTCTCCGTACCCGTGCTGGTCGATGTGGGTATTAAACCTGGAGGGGGCCAGTGTGCCTGAAGGGTGGTTGGTTGAGGGGCTGGAGTGAAATAGCACAGCGGGTAGGGCGTTTGCCTTGCATGCGGCCAACCCGGGTTCGATTCCCAGCATCCCATATGGTCCCCTGAGTGCCGCCAGGAGTGATTCCTGAGTACAGAGCCAGGAGTAACCCCTGTGCATCACTGGGCGTGACCCAAAAAGAACAACAACAAAAAAAAAAAGCAGGGGGTGGTTGGTTGAACCCACAGCTTGGCATTCTGAATCAAGGTGGGACAGGAACTTGGGTGCGGTCGTAACGCCTTGCTCAGGCCAGCTGTGGGCCAGGGGAGTCTCCAGCCGCCCGCCCTGGGGAGCTGACACTCCTTGGGGCTGCCTCCTCCCGGCTGTAAGGCAGCCTGTAGGTACTCTTGCCTTCTGGCCTTGGGGCAGTCTCTTCCGGGTGTCCCAACGGGGACGTGGCTGGAGTGTGCGCGTCTCTCTCCTCCCGGGTCGGCTCTCCGAGTCGGGGTTGCTTCCCGCCGTGCTCACCATCTCCCTGTTTCCCTTCCAGCTCCAGGAGACGGTGAAGCGGAAGTTGGAAGGCGCCCGCTCGCCCCTCAATGGAGACCAGCAGAACGGAGCTTGCGATGGGAGCTTCTCCCCGACCCACAAGCGTCTGCGCAGGGAGCTGGCGGTGGGACTGGAGGCCGTCAGCTTGCCGCCGCTGCCCGCCGCGTCGCCCCTGCACCAGCTGGACCTGAAGCCGTCCCTGCCCCTGCCCAACAGCGGCGCCCACGCGCCCGTGCTGCTGGACGACCTGGGCAAGAACGGCCGGCTGCCCGACATGAAGCTGCCCGTCAACGGCTGCGGGGAGCTGGACGAGGGCTTCCCGGGGATGCAGGGCAAGGAGCTCAAGCAGGAGCCCCTGGAGGACCCGGCCGGCATGGACCCGTCCGAGACGTCCCTGTCCAACCAGAACAAACTCTTCTCCGACATCAACCTGAACGACCAGGAGTGGCAGGAGCTCATCGACGAGCTGGCCAACACCGTCCCCGAGGACGACATCCAGGACCTGTTCAACGAGGACTTCGAGGAGAAGAAGGAGCCCGAGTTCTCGCAGCCGGCCACCGAGACGCCGCTGTCCCAGGAGAGCCTGAGCGTGAAGAGCGACCCCACGCACTCGCCCTTTGCCCACGTCTCCCTGGCCTCGCCCCAGGCCCGGCCCGCCTCCTCCGGGCCCCCCTTCTCCGCCGGCTCCGCCGCCCCGACGTTACCCTCCGTGGCCGGCACGCCCGCGGCCCCCAACCCCGCCGGCTCCCCCGCGAACTGCGCCGTCCCGTCCCCGCAGACCCCCAACCCGGCCCACGCCCCCGGGCAGGCGCCCCCCCGGGGGCCGGGGAACGGGTACCTCCTGACCCCCGCGGCCGGGCCCGGCTCGGACCTGTCCCCGGCGGAGCAGCTCAAGCAGATGGCCGCGCAGCAGCAGCAGAGGGTCAAGTTCCTGCACCAGAAGCAGCAGCACTCGAGCCAGAGCTCCAGCTGGTCGCCCCTGGGGCCCCCCTCCAGCCCGTACGCCGCCGCTTTCGCCGCCGCCGAGAAACCAAATAGCCCAATGATGTACCCCCAAGCCTTTAACAGCCAAAACCCAATAGTGCCTCCGATGGCAAACAACCTGCAGAAGACAACGATGAATAACTACCTCCCCCCAAACCCCATGAACATGGTCAACCAGCCGGCTAATAACCTGGGCGGCGCCAACTCCCTGAGCAAGCCGCACAATATCCTGACGTACGGCAACACCAAGCCCCTGACCCACTTCAACGCCAACCTGAATCAGAGGATGACGCCGCCCATGGCCAACGCCGGCAAGAACCCCCTGATGCCGTACATGCAGCCGCAGCCCCAGCCATCGCAGCCGCCGTCCCAGGCGCCGCAGCTGCAGGCCCCCAGGGCTCACCTGAGTGAGGAGCAGAAGCGCATGCTCCTCCTGAAGCAGAAAGGCGTGATGAACCAGCCTCTGGCGTACGCCTCCCTGCCAGCCCACGGGCAGGTAAGTGAGTCCGGCGTGCGGGCGCCCCGCTGGCCGCCAGCGCTCCTGTGCGCGCGCACTTAGGCCTTCTGGGGCTTAGTCAGCTTCACGGCCTTTCGATTCCCCCCGTAGTGGGCAGAGGGGCTCGTGGACCCTGCCCAGGAGCCTGGCCTTTATCCACCCCCACCCCACCCATGGCAGGGAAGAAACCAAACGTTGCATCCGTTCCCCCTCTGCCAGCTGGGAACCGCTCACAGAGTTCGCGCCGTGACCTCTCACACTGGGGCTCCGCCTCGCAATAGTTTTTCTCCCAGGCTGGACGTGGCTTGGAGGGGGGCGGGTGGGCATTTGGAGGTCACGACGTCCAGTCTTGCTTCACCAGGCCTGAGCGGCCTCAACAATCTCGCCGAGTGAGGAGCCCGGGAAGTTGGATTCTTGGTGTTGGGAAGGGGCCGTGCATCTTGTGCGTGTCCTGACGGACCACGGCCGATGTGGTCCTAGAAAGGGAGAGTCGAAGGCCGAGGCCGCATGTCCTGGGCCTGGGGGCTGTTTTCCTCTCTCCAGCGTGTGGGAGCCATTCAGCTGGGAGTGAAGCCGGCCGGGCCGGTCACAGGAGCCGTGGCAGCCTGTGCCTGAGGAGAGCCAGGAGCCTCTACAGTCCCTCCTGCTCAGGGAAGCCCGGGGGTCGTATCAGGGTGCTTGGTGGAAATCAGGGCCACTTCACCTATGGTCTCCGTCAGCCCCTGATTCCTGGTGAAGTGAGTAGCCCCAGCTGGTATGGGAGGCCACACAGACGGCCTTTAGTTTAGCCCTGAGCCTGCCTCGCCGCCAGGAGAAGGGGGATGGTTCGTGTCCCCCGACCCTCTCTGCGTGGGTGGGAATTCCAAACCCTTCCCAGCTGCTCGCTGCCTGGTGCCGTGTGCTCTGAAGGCGCCTTCACTGGCCAGGGAGTTGGCCATCTCCTGTGGGGGTCAGCCTGTGCATGCAGGTCAGGACAGGAACTTGGCTGCACCCCACCTGCAGGTGTCGGAGGGCCCGGAGGGAGGGTCCTGTGGTGTCCTTCGGCGGCTCTCTGCATCTCGGGGCTCGTACTGCAGTGCCCCCGCATGTCCGGGCCGGCCCGCAGAGACAGGCTGGGCTCTGCGGCTGGTTCCTCATTCCTTGCCGCCTTCCAGCCCCAAAACCGCACGCTGGGTTCTTGTCCACACAGGCCGGCAGACGCGAAAGAAAGTCCCTCTGGAGAAATGCAAAGATCAGTTGGTTTCTGCTGCCGGCAGTGGGGTACTGGCAGGGAAACACAACCGCGCGGGACTTGATGGTTTGCCTCGGCTGTGTTTGAAAATAGACAGTCGGGGAGGACGGCCTTAATGCAGACCCTGCCCTGCGGAAGCTGCCCAGAGGCCCTCGGGCCCAGCGGGTCAGACTGCCACCACCTCAGGGAATCTGAGGGCTGACGTCACACAGATTGGGCCTCTCCGGTTCCACTCCAGCTTCACTTCAGTAGCTTCTCCTCCCAGCTAGACAGAGATGATTCATCTGAGCTCCCCAGCTCTGCAGATGGGTGGGTGTTAAGGGAACCCTCCTCAGCACACCCAGACACACACACACACACAAGCACACATACACATACACACTAGTATTTGAAATGTTCTAAGTTGGATTGATGTTTTTGGAACAAGCTTTCTTGTGTGTGTGTGTGTGTGTGTTTTTTTTTTGGGTGGGGGGTGTTGGGTCACACCCGGTGATGCACAGTGGTGACTCCTGGCTCATGCACTCAGGAATTACTCCTGGCGGTGCTTGGGAGACCATATGGGAATCGAACCCGGGTCGGCCACATGCAAGGCAAATGCCCTACCCGCTGTGCTATCGCTCCAGCCCAAACATGAATTTCTTTAAAGGTACTTATTTCGGGTCCTTTTCTCTGCCTAGTTAGGAGTAACGGAAGCTTGCAGATCTTGTTCTGGAAGAGCCATGTCAGGTGAGAAGCCCAAGAGGTGGTTTCTGGATGAAATCAGGCTTCCTTATTGCGTCTCACGAGACACCTCTAGGAAGGCCTTGTTAGAATAATCACTTCTTAACTCCTACAGTGCCATCAAGCAAAAGCCTGCCTTTGGGTGCGCGAGGAACTCGGCCCCTGTTTGCAACAAGCTTCAGAATGCACATGTAAATCTGAAATGCCATTCTGCAAACATCCTGTCTATTTCACACTCTTATCTGATTCCGGAGCAGTATTTGCCTAACGCTTGGGAGAGTTAATTACACCAGAGGCCAGTACATTTCACAGATACTAGCAGGAATGCAGACAAGGTCCAAAAAAAAAAAAAAAAAACCTGAAACATACATGGAGCTGACATTTGTTTTTCTGCTGCTGCTATTGAAAATTCACTTCTCGGGATGTTCGGATCATTCCCTACACAACAAGAGCGTTGAACAGGATCAAGGCTCCATGTCAGGTGCTCTGGGTGGGGCTTATCATAGTAAGAAACTGGAGCCAAAATAAGGATCTTGGGAAAATACCAAGAAGAGCCCGAGGAATTAGTGTTTCACTGGAAAGACTTGTCCAGAAGTGGAGTAAGAAATCATGCAACAGATGGTCACATACAGATTATATTTTCTCAAGTATGTACAGAAGAATGTACTGAACTACAAGTATTAAGAATAGCCTTTACTAGTTGGTAAAATCATAAGTGATTATTGCTTTCATTATTGTTAGTTAAATAATTGTTTGGTTATTTTTGGCAAATTCATGATTGATCCACTTGCCCATGTTCTAAAATCACTGCTTTGATCATTGGTCCTGCCTCCTAGTTCCTGGAACTTCGGTTTGTCCTGAATTCGGTCTCTGGATGTCCCTTTTCACTTTGCAAACATGAGTTTCTGAGCTAAAATAACCACAGCAAACATGCTTGTGTCTTTTTGTTCTTTTCCTGATCTTTCCTCTCAGACTCGCCGGCTTGCTTTCTCTCTCTGTCTCGGTCTGTCTCTGCGTTAGTTTGTGTTTGCAGTGCACCGAGTGCTGTGTTGTAATAAGGACGCTGGAACACTTCTTCGGTTTTCGCAGTTCTTGAAGTTCAGGCCTAATGTTTACAGCAGATGAGCAGAGTTCTGGCCTGGATGCCCAGGGCGGATTTTGAGATGAAATAGAAGGGCTGGGCCAGAAGCTCTGAGGGAGGGCAGGGAATTGGGAAGTGGGGGAGAAACATCGTTTCCAACATGCAGTGTCTCTCGGGTGATCGTGGTTGCAGGTGGGGGATCCCCAATCTTGACTCGTGGCCTCTGTGCTTCTCAGGGGTTCTCACATGCCTGTGCCAGCCAGTGGGCGGAAGAAGACCAGAAGCCCCTGATTGTGGGTGCCCTCACCCACCGCGTGGCCCGGGGGGTGGGGAGGTTGGTGTTTCTGTGGGCCCCTGGCCACTTCCTCTCCAGACCGCCCACTTATTCGCTTGTCTGTCTGCAAGTACCATGTCCGGGCTCCGTGGGAGGGGGCTGGGGGCTGGTTTACCCACCCTCTCTCTCAGACCCCAGCCCCAGCTCTGCTCCCCAGCTTCTCAGTACAGGGTCCTAGTTCCAAGCGCTTGTAATGCTTTTGCTTTCCCTGCGAGTAATCATTTCTTTTCTCTTTTATTTTTTTAAGATATAGTAACAGGGGCTGGAACGATAGCACAGCGGGTAGGGCATTTGTCTTGCATGTGGCTGACCCGGGTTCGATTCCCAGCATCCCGTATGGTCCCCCGAGCACCGCCAGGGATAATTCCAGAGTGCAGAGCCAGGAGGAACTCCTGAGCATCGCTGGCTGTGACCCAGAAAGAAAAAAAAAAAGATATAGTAACAGAGGGACTGCAGCAATAGTGCAGTGGGTAGGGCACTTGTCTTGCACATGGTTGACCAGGTTTGATCCCCAGCACCCCATATGGTTCCCTAAGCCCCGCCAGGAATAATTCCTGAGCACTGAGCTTGAGGTGAGCTGCAGACGAGGGACGGTCCCAGCCAGGAGACCCTCTGGACACTGACCTTGTGGAAGGAAGCAGTGGTGAGATGCTCTCTGACGATTCCCTTGGAAAGGGTGTGTGGGCTGAGAATGTTCTCGTCTACCAAGAGAAATGGAACCCTGTGAACTGAGATTTGGCGTCCACTGAAGAATGCCCTGCGGAAAGTGCAGGTCACCGGCCCCTGGGCAGAGACCCCGCATGGGCAGGTCCTGGGGGAGCCCTGGGGCGGTGCCCGGAACATGGCAGCCCACAGCTGTGTTTCTCAGCAGAGCAGCAGCGGCTCACAGGGCTCAGCTCTGAGCATGCCCCTGGCGTCCCTGAGGCTGTAACAGAGGGACTCCACCGGTTCCTCTACTCCAAGGGTTTCTTTCTCTTGAAGGGCCAGGGAAGGCCATGCCCTGCACCCCTCCCCTTTGGTGACCTTGTGTTTGCTGTGACAGCCACCTGTGGCACTCGCAGGGGCCTCATGCTTTTAGTTGCAGTGTTTGCACAGACACTTGAGGGCCTCTGGGTCCTGGGCCTGGTGCTACCACATCCCTTTAGGGGCCTCGGACTCCAGACCCCTGCTGAGCCAGTGAGTGGCCGTCTGGGCTCTGCATTTAAAAGCCTCAGGGGTTGGACCAAATCGATAGAACAGCGGGGAGGGCGTTTGCCTTGCACATGGCCAACCTGGGTTCAATCCCCGGCATCCCATTTGGTCCCCCAAACACCGCCAAGAGTAATTCCTGAGCACAGAGAGAGGATTAATCTCTGAGCATCGCTGAGTGTGAACTGAAAAGCCCCCCCCCCAAAAAAAATTATTAAAAACCTCCAGGGTTGGGACCAAGAAACAGCTGCGTCGGCTGAACACAGGCTTTTTACAGACACGCTGGAGGCCGGTTCATCCGAGCAACACACAGTCCTCCGACCACCCTCGGACCGTGGCGCAAAAACTGATAAAAGGAGGGGCTGGAGCAGTAGCACAGCGGGAAGGGCATTTGCCTTGCACGCGGCCAACCCGGGTTCAGATTCCCAGCATCCCATATGGTCTCC